GTTAGTGTAACCAAACGTTGTTATTTCATATACTAAGTTATATTTGTAAATAATTATATTGACTGAAAAAAAAAACAGTAAAGCACATTAGGTTACCAGACAAACATTTAGTTTTTACCTGCATACTTGCCTAACGAGCTGACTGCCTTTCTGACAGCAGGGTTATGAGCCAAAGTGTCTAGGTTTTGAGGCAAAGCCAATATGAAAATATATTTTGTAACTGCTTTTAAATACACTTGATATTGTAATTAATTAGCCTACTTACACGTAATCTGTGAGACTGTAATGTACAGAGTTGCCAAACAGCGAGAGAAAGCACGCTGTTTCCCGGTGGAGATTGATGAGCATCCCCCTCCCCAGAGCTCCTGGTGTTTCTATAGTAATTTCCAGCCAATGATCAGTTGGTGTCCACATCCCCATCCTCCTCACCTCAGCACCAATCAGCCACACACAGCGACAGGAGACACCTCACCTCCAGTCATCGCTCCACGGACAACAGGCTCAACCCGGACGCCATCAGAAACATATACCTTTTCTTCTACTTTTCTTCGCGTGAAGAATGGTGTTTTGTGCATAAAGATGGTGTTTTTGTAGTGATCACTCGGCGTGTGTTTATTGTGTATTCATCGCAGTAATGTGCTGCTCTAGTGTCTGGATTGTCTGGTAGGTGATGCTCTTTAATTTTTTTTTTCTCGCTTAGCTATAGTGGCGCATGCTTTCTGAATGTCCACTGTTTTATTATTTATTTCGGGTGGTTTTGAAGGCGCCAGAGTGATTAAATTCCATTATGCAATTTGATCTGAATGTCTCGGGCTGTATTCGACGGCACACTTGTCTACTCTCGACCTCTTTCAGTCTCCTCTGAGTATCGGATATTTCTTATTCTCTGAACTTTGTTTACAGCTTGAAAATCAGTGGTTTAAAAGCACCTTTTACTCGTGAACAGAAAAATTAAAAACAACAGCGATGATAATAATACTAAATTAATGATTTGCATCATCAGTGTATTGTGCATTATTGCTCAGAATAGAAAACTTCTTATGCTTGTGAGTGTAAAGTGATCTTTTTTTTTTTTACTCAGTTTTGTTCTGTTTGCCTTTAATTAGGAAGTTATAAAGCAGCATGAGCCTCTTTAAGAAACTTAATAAAAACATTACTGGCTTCATGTGAGGTCTCAGATGATTAATGACAGGGTCTTAGATATGAATGGTTATCCAGTATTTATCCAATTAAATTAAATTCAGAACTAGATATTAACAGAGCTTTGAATTGCTGTAGTCGTCTTGCAATCTAGTAGACAGTCAGTGAGAGAGTCTAGTGAAAGGTAATGCAAGTAGAGGAAGATGTGTCTAATAGGCTTTTATCTGTGGCAACAAAACCCAGCCAGACTGGGAGATCGGAAATGGATCCCCCCACACACTACAGTTGCCAAGGTCTGGGACTTGGTTGAAGTGAGCCTCACAAATTATCCTTGTATCATTGGGTGAATCCTGACAATGTGCTTTATTATAATATTGACATATTTTCGTAAGAACTTTTTGCTTAATGCATGATCACATGTTGTTGTTTTTTCTTTTTTTAAATTAGAGACTTCTAAAGTTTGAGGTTGCTTATATTTGAGATAGCTATTACAAAAAAAAAAAAAAAAGAAGTATGTTAAATGTGCATGCATGTTTTGTTTCTATTATGAGGCTACTTTTATTTTCCAAGTATTGGTCCCATTATATAAATAATATAGTAAATAATTATCTAATTTTAGGAAGTCAGTGTACTGACAATATATTTTTTCAATCTTGGTGATGAAATTACATGACTTTCACATATGATTATGCCTGTTTCCTATGGTTATGCCACATAAAGGTGTCATAGCTACAATGGTAAATCACGAGATTAGAATCCCAACTTTATGACTAAAGCAATCAGGAGAGAAAAAAAAGAAATTTTGACAATTTTGACATGAAGTAAAAACCTTTCACTATAGTTGAGTAAATTGGAAGTGTCAGATGATGCACAGGAAATTTTTGTCACTTGTATCCGTAATTGTTGTTCTCTTGTTTTAGTGGAGAGGATAAACCAGGATGGTAACGTGTTGTGTCTAACAAGCTTCACCTTGACAAAAAACAACTGCCACCCTCCCCTGAATTTTTCTTGTGAGCACTTGAAATTTAGCAGTCATGTCTAATCTTAACAATGCACTTTGCATTGAAAGCGGCCAGAGCACCGACGTGTCACTCTTGCAAAAGGATAATCTTCAGGACGGTGGATTAAGCCAGCTGTTGGATTACAATGCTGAAATGGAAAGGTACAGGTCGTTTGCAAACTTTTACAAAACCAATGGGGCATTTCCACAGACCGCTAAGATTGCCCGCATAACGACACCAATTTTTCCCAGCGCCAGAATCGGTGTGTCCCCTTGGAACTGTGATAACGGCATGCTCTGGGGAAGGAAATCAGCAGCAATAAACCCTAATAGGACCAGCATGCATAGAAACGACTCCCAAAGGCCGGGGAAACCTGGCATGCCGCCAGAGACGCTGCAAATGGCAAATAATAATTTCCTCTCTAGCTTATCCCCTGAACACTGCAGACCTTTAGCAGGAGAATGCATGAACAAGCTGAAATGTGGTGCTGCTGAAGCAGAGATAATGAATCTCTCGGAACGTGTTGGAACTTTTTCAGCTATTCCGGCTTTAGGGGGCATCTCATTACCTCCCGGGGTCATCGTCATGACAGCCCTTCACTCCCCCGCAGCCTCAGCAGCCGTTACAGACAGTGCGTTTCAAATTGCCAATCTGGCAGACTGCCCACAGAATAATTCCTCCGCATCCAGCGGAAACCCAGCGAAAAAGAAAAGGAAAAGGTGTGGGGTCTGCGCGCCCTGCAGGAGGCTAATCAACTGTGGAGTGTGCAGCAGTTGTCGGAACCGTAAGACGGGCCACCAGATCTGCAAGTTTCGGAAATGCGAGGAGCTAAAAAAGAAGCCTGGCTCATCACTAGAGGTGAGACGACGGCTCAGACACCACACTCCCCCTCCCTCTCTCCCTCCGTGCACTCAAAAGCATTAACCTTTCCTTCTAGTCACGTTTCTAAGCCCTTGAAAATTGTTTCCATGCCCACCCATGCCTGAACATCCCCCCAGCTTCTCAAATCTGCCTACCCGCCTAACCTAATTGGCAGTAATTAGGGGTGTTTGTGCGGAGCGCAAGCTGAGCTTGGCTCAGACACCCCTAATTGCTGCCAGTCAGGCTGGGGCTGGAACGCATCCGAACAACCCAGGGCTTGGCTCTGCTCCAAGCTGAGCTGGGAAATGGTTTTCAGCAGAGAGCCATCCTTCTCTGCACTTGGTCATTTTAACCAATTATAGAAACTGTCTCCTGACGAGGCTAGTCGATCTCTCCCACAATGGGAGCAATAGGAAAATTCCTGCTGCTGTTCTTCTATCACACTTGGGATGTGGAACATCTAGATTCTCATCCTGATATCCTTACACATTGAAAAAGAAATAGGAAAAACAATCGAAAGCATTTTTATTATTGTTGAATAAATTAACCACATAAAGAAAAGACAATAATGTGTCTAAAGAAATACCAATTTGGAAGTGTTTGTTTGTGTATACTTGAAGGAGAGTGGACAAATATAGGATATATTTCTAGAAACAGGAGAATTTAGTTCCGCTAACAAAGGCTCTGTTTACACATGGTGTGAACATCCGTCTTGGGTGATGTGATGTGAACAGCACAATATACAAGTGTAAAAAGGTTGCAATGCACACATTTTACAAATTACACAAAAGGACAATAAAAAGCACTTGGCATTCATAGTGTAAATGCTAATGTGTCCTTATGCATCTCGAACAACACTGAATGACTACCTACTCATCTAATATGTAATCAATGCACCAAAACAAAGGTTTGAAAATTGCACATTGACTTGTGTGTCTGACATCAACAGGCACTGACCTTCCCTTCAACGAACTGCAATCACAATCAGTGGTTACAGGAGATGCATATGAAAAGCATGTTAAAGGGGTCATATGATGCGATTTCAGTTTTTCCTTTCTCTTAGGAGTGTTACAAGCTCTTGGTGCATATAGAAGATCTGTAAAGTTGCAAAGAGTAAAGTCTCAAATCCAAAGAGATATTCTTTATAAAAGTTAAGAGTCAACCACGCCTACCTAAAACGGCTCGTTCTAACACGCCCCCACATTTCTACATCACGATGTGGGAAGATTTGCATAACGTCGCCCAAATGTGCACGCAAAGAAAGAAGGCGTAACTTTTATTCTCGCTGTAGTATTGCTGTTGCCGCCACCGCCATGTCGTGAAGGCGCTGTGTGTTTCGTTGTGAAAGCGAAACTACTTTGTTTGGCCTTCCAAAAGAGGACGATATCCGCTTCATCATGCCTGGAGCAAAATAATGTTCTTTTTAGCAACATCATATGACCCCTTTAATACCAGTTGTTAATAGGGCCTAAAGCATATTTTCACACTGAGTATTCTACACCTGCTGATTGAGTGTATTTAGAAAATGTATCTAAATACTTGTTAATACTGTTTTCTAACGTCTGTTGACTTGTGTGCAGGTTAAGGTTGAGTGTGACTGTTGTTTGTTACATGTGTTTGGTGTTGTAGCAGCTAGGATAAAGTATATGCTGTTCTACTTCCTTCTCTTTACTTCACCAAGAATGTACAGGTCAAGGTTCTGAACACTGACTTGGCATTGTTGATGTGATTCTCATGTGTGATAGGTGGAGTGTGGAAATTTTTTGATTTTAAAATACTTTTAACTACCCCAGCTTAATATACATGGACAATATGTAAGCTACTATAAGTTTCTTTTCTCATGATAGCATAAGCAGTGCTTATTTGTGGCACTTTCAGAACCTTCAGAGCCTTTCAAAATCCCATCAGTGTGACCAGTGGCAGATGAGGGAAGTGGTCTGGTTTGGAAACCTGTTTGAAAACAGTTTTTTTTTTTTTTTTTGCTATTTCATTTGTTGCTGCTTATGAAACAGATGTACCATACTTCACCTAAAGTTTAATCATGTATTACTTTATTTTAGGACATTATGGCAGTTTGGAACTTTTTAAACTATTATTTAATTAATTTATTTAATAAATCTTCATTTTGAGATTGTGGAATACAAATCAGCATATTAGAATAATGTCTGAAGGATCATGTGACAGACCGGAAATAATGACAGCTGAAAACTCAGCTTTGTCATCACAGGAAAAAATTACTTTTTAAAATTTATTAAAATAGAAAACAGCTGTTATACATTGTAATAATATTTTACAATATTCTCTTGGAGCTCTACTTAGTATGTGTGGAAATGCAGGGTGATCTGAGTTTGCTGTAAGACTGATTAGCATCCTCAGCCCACACACAGCCTTTATTAATTTATATTGAGCCGACCAGTATAGAAGAACTATGTGCCTTTACACAAGCATCTGCGGACACATACAGACTAAAATATACTGACTTTTTTTTCAGTTTATTATTGACTTGCTTCCAACTATATGTCTGGTTACACAAAACACACACACACACCGATTCACACACACAGACAAACACACACACACATGTATGTAGACCCAGCTGATTGCACCTTTTGCTGCTAACAAATGATAAACTCCCAGTAAGCAGCTGGATGTTGCTGTCAGTGTTTTGCACCTGGGAATCACCCTGAACTAATTATATCTTTAGCGGCAGTGGAAAATGCAAATTAGAATTTTACTTACACCCCTGAAATCAGAGAGCCAATTTAATCTAATACCGCCTTTAATTTAGTGCGCTAATGCAAGACCCTGGAGGATTACCCTGTGTCACTGCTCTGCTGTTCTCTCTCTCTCTCTCTCTCTCTCTGTCTTTCTCTCTCTCTCAGACACCAGAATGGATTAGTCTAGCAGAGTCATCTTATCTTTCCTAACGTTTCCTGAGCTTGCTTTGAGTCCAGTAATGCTCCAGGTTAGTCAGACAGTTTGAGCTTGGGTTCTTTTTTGGAAGTTAAAAAAAAAAAAATTTTGATCAAAGGCTGTGTGCATACATAAGACAGGATCTATATTGGAAAGTGGTTGTTTTTGGTGTGAAATGAACTGTTTTTTATGATAATGCACAAAGATAGATTTCATGATTTAGTGATTCCTCTGTGATTATGAGAAGTACCACATCTTAAATGCTGCATAAATTATTGAAATTTTGCTAGAGGAAATTAAGTGTAAGACAAAGTATTTAGTTTGTTCCATGCATAGGGCTGTTTTTGGCTATAAAAGACTGATTATCTGACAAACAGTTTGCCAGGATAAATTAAAATAATAGTACACTTAAAAAGTATTATGCCATAATTTATTCACACACTTCATTCAAAACCATATATACAGTATTTACAGTAAATGACAATCTCCTAATATTACCAACAACAACAAAAATCACTGTAAAGGCTATATGACTTCTACTATAGGGCAGTAAATTGTCACAATTGATGTCTTCTGAAACAGAATCATACTGAAGCTTTGTGTGAGGAACAGAATAAAATATAAAGGGATAGTTCACCCAAAAATGAAATGTTTTCATGATTTACTCACCCTGTAAACTTGCATGACTTTCTTCTTTGCAACATAATAGAAGTAATTTTTTTAATGTCTTGAGAAATGTAATTTTTTTTCTCTTTGGAAGTCAATGGTCAACAAAAGTTGTTGCCAACATTCCGCAAAATATCCACAGGTTTGGGACGACATGAAGGTAAGTAAATAATGACAGAATTTTCATTTTTGGGTGAATCTCTTTATCTTATTATTCACTGAATATATTTTTCCCTCCTCCACAGTTTGCAAATCTTGTTAATGCTTACAAATTCAAGTTTTTAAAAAATCCCATTGCTCTGCACAATGTGCTACAACGTTGTTGCGGAATTTCTTGTTTTTTTCTTGCGCTACCACTTAAGACTGAAATGTAATCAGACATGCCTGGCCTGTGCCCTTACCCATGACGCCTGCTGTCTCCTTTGACCTGGCTTGATTTAACATCTCCAGTTCAGTGGTGAAAGCAACTCATTATCAGTGGCCGTTTTTTAGGATGGGGAGGGGTGGCGGATCAGTGGAGGAAAGTGTAGGTGCTGCGAACGTTAATGTGTGGCATTTTAAATTTTAAACAGGAGACTGTAAATAATTGATGGCTAGCTCTGGATGAGAAGTTAAATGGTTCCCCATCATTGCAGTGACCTGTTTGAAAATACGTGAAGAAAGCCAACGCAGAAGGGGTCTTAGTATTTACATTAAGGCCATAAAAAATATTCCATATTTTGTACACATTTCAGCAACATTTACAGATTCAGTTAAAGATACATAAAAATAAATTAAAAAGAAAGAAAGAAATTACGAAGAAATTACTTTTGACAAATGTTACAAATTTTGTCAAATGAGATCAAGGCTCATAAACCCTTGTAAAAAACTGAAGTACACTTTATCATACTTTTAAAAAGAGTACTTATTGTGGAAATAATATACTCTAAAAGAATGTGCAAACTGAATTAAATGTTTTCAGACACTCAAATGCATCTTAATTGCAATTAAATAAAAAAAAAATATATAATATAAATTTATATTAGATGCAATCAGCTTTTAAGAACTTTAGAACTTTAAAGTGTTTTTGGCCACTAAAGTTGGATTTAAGTACATATTTATATGTAATTTCATAATTACATCAATTGTCTTTGAAATATAAAGCGTACTACTGAATTTACTTTTATGCATTTATGTTTATTTATATATAATCAGAATACTTATAGAATAAAAAAAGAATAAAAATAGAAAAATAGAATAGAATAAAATAGAATAATATAATATTTATTCTTAATAGAATAAAACTTTTATGTAATGTATTTAAAATATTTGTAATTAAAGATTTGTAATGATAAAGTTGCATTTTGCATTTGATATTACTTATTTTATTTACATAACACATGTATTATAGGGCATTGTTTCTGCATAATAAATTAATT